GTGGCGTAGTGGGTAAGGCTGCCTCCTGCACTGCTGATATCCCATATGGGTGCTGGTTCGAGTACCGGCTGCTCCACTTCCCATCCAGCTCTCTGCTATGGCCTGGGAAGGCAGTGGAGAATGGCTCAAGTCCTTGGGACCCTGCGCCTGCATGGGGGACCCGGAGGAGGCTCCTGTCTCCTGGCTTTGGATCAACGCAGCTCCAGCCATTGCCGCCAATTGTGGAGTGAACCAGCGGATGGAAGACCTCTCTCTCTCTCTCTCTCTCTCTCTCTCTCTCTCTGCCTCTCCTTCTCTCTCTGTGTAACTCTGCCTTTCAAATAAATAAATAAATAAAATGTTAAATACACCAAATCAACCCCAAGCCTAAAACCTTTCAATGTGTATCTCCACATCTTTTGGATGTAAAGTATCTACAAGACATACTATATCCTCATGATACAGTTCATACATAATACAAATAGAAAAGTCTCATGAAACATACAAAGGTACTTCAAAAGGTTCGTGGAAAATTGAATTAAAAGTATGAGTTTAGGGGCAGATGCTTGCCACAGCAGTTAAAATCCCCTCTTGGGATACCCACATCCCATATTGGAGGGCTTCAGTTTGAGTTCTGGTTCTGCTTCCAATTCCAACGTGCTGCTTATGCAGACACTGGGAGCCAGCAATGGTAACTGTAACCCACATGGGAGATCTGCGCTGAGTTTCAGGCTCCTGGCTTTAGCCTGACTCAGCCCCAGCTGTTGCATTTGGGGAGGGAACCAGTGAGAGCAAGAGCTTTCTTTGGTTGTCTGTCTCAATTGTTGTCTCTCTCTCTGCCTTTCAAATAAAAAAAAGAGTTTTATTTTAGTATGAGTTTATTTTAGTGCAAAAATCATTTTTCAAATACATGCATAGTTTTTTATAATACACATTTTCCACATATTATAAAAAAAACTTTGTAACCCCAAATTTTTTGTACCAAAATAAACTCATACTTTTAATTCCGTTTCTATGAAGTGTGTTGAAGTACCCATGTATTTCCCCCTCCCTTATTTGATCCTGTGATACACTCTGATATTTTCTATTCTTAAATTGATTTCAGTACCTTCTCCAGTTTGACCCACACTTAAAAGCACTGCATTAATACCTTTGCCATTGCTCATAAAATAAAATCTATCCTGCTTGCTAAGGCCTAGGAAGCCTCCACACAATCTGGCTCCTGCCTTCCTCTTCAATCTTACTTGCCACCCTCTTTCCCTGGGCTCACTGTGCTCTAGCCAGGCTGGCCTTCTTATAGCTCTTGAATATGCCATTTTCCTTTATCCCCAGGGCCTTCCCACTTACCGCTTTCTCTGCCTAGAACAGTTTTGCCTCCACTCCTCATCTGATCACTCCCACTCCTTCATGTCTCAGCTCCAATATCAGGCATTGCCTGATACTTCTGGCTAAATCACCCCTACCCGTTATTCTCTCTCCTCTCACCCTGTTCTGTCCCTTAATAAAGCCTTATCACAATTTATAATTATGTGTGTTTATGTGTCATAATTATGTGTTTGTTTCATGTCTTCTCCAGTACCAGACCATAAACTCTGAAAGCAGAGTTTGTTCACCACTGTCTTTTTTAAAAAAGATTTATTTATTTATTTGAAAGCCAGAGTTACACAGAGAGAGAAGGAGAGACAGAGAATAACAGAGAGAGAGGTCTTCTATCCACTGGTTCACTCCCTAATTGGCCACAACAGCCAGAGCTGCACTGATCTGAAGCCAGGAGCCAGGAGCCAGGAGCTTCTTCCAGGTCTCCCATGTGGGTCCAGGGGCCCAAGGACTTGGGCCATCTTCTACTGCTTTCCCAGGCTATAGCAGAGAGCTGGATGGGAAGTGGAGCAGCCGGGACTCGAACCAGCGCCTATACAGGATGTCGGCACTGCAGGTGGTGGCTTTACCCACTACGCCATAGTGCCGGCCCCTCACCATGGTCTTGTTCATGTCTGTCTGATTCACTGCTGCATAGCCAGTGCTTCACCTGGTGCCTGGCCCATAGTGTGTGCTCAAAAGACAGCCATTGAATGAGCTGAGATCTGAAGAACTAATGAGGTGGAATCAGGGAGATGTGGCGTAGAGAGTTTCATGCAGAGGCAGCAGCATGTGCCACAACTCAGAAGCTAACGAGGCTAAGAACAGTCTAAGAATTTCAGCTTTGACTCAAGCAATCGTGGAACCTGGAAAGGCTGGTGAGTCCAGGGGAGCAGTGCAGATCATGAAGGACTCAGCTTAAATTTTTCCTGTTCAGGAAGGTAAGTTCTCATTGAAGAATTCTAAACATGGGAGTGATATGATTTTATTTACCTTTTCAAAGATACATATTGGCAAAAGTGTAAAGAATAGAGTCCAGAGAACAAGATACAAACAGGGAGGCTATGACAACATTGCAAATCAGAAAGGGTGCTGGCTTAGGCTGGCATTGCAGCACAGTGGGTTAAGCCACCACCCGGGATGCCAGCATCCCATATGAGCGCTGGTTCCAGTCTCAGCTGCTGTGCTTCTGATCCAGCTCCCTACTAATGCTCCTGGAAAAGCAGAGGAAGATGGCCCAAGTGTTTGGGCTCCTGCCAGCCATGTGGGAGACTCAGATGGAGTTCCAGGCTAATAGCTTCAGCCTGGCCCAGCTCCCGCTGTTGTGGCCATTTTGGGAATGGACCAGCAGATAGGAGATCCCTCTCTGTGTCTCTCCCTCTCCCTCTCTAATTCTGCCCTACAAATAAAATAATTCTTTAAAAAGAGAGAGAGAGAGAGAGAGAGAGAGAGAGAGAGAGAGAGAGAGAAAAGTTGCTGGCTTAAATGAGAGTATGTGCTGGCTTAAATAAAAAGCCTGCATAAATAGATCTGATAGACATTCAGGAGGTAAAAATGACAGGACTTGCAGATTGCATAGAGGGTGGAAGAGCAAGAAGAGCCAGGAATCTACTGGGGTCATTCACTAAGGCAAGATTCAAGGAAGGACAAACAAACTGGGAGCAGGATGCATTAAGTCAGAGAAAAGCTGAGGTTCTAGGTGTCTCTGGGATATTTAGGTAGAGAAAATAGTTGAATGCATGGATCAAGAGAAATATCTGGACCTGAGATATCAATTTGGGAGTCATCAGCAAAGAGATGCTAACTGAAGCCATGGGAGTGAATGAGATAAACAAAAGAAAGAACATAGACAGAGAAGAGAGCTCAAGCCCTAAAGAGAACTCATATTAAGAGTTGGACAGAGGGGCTAGCGCTGTGGTGTAGCCGGTAAAGCCACCGCCTGCAGTGCCGGCATCCCATATGGGCACCGGTTCGAGTCTCAGCTGCTCCACTCCTGATCCAGCTCTCTGCCGTGGCCTGGGAAAGCAGTGGAAGATGGCCCAAGTCCTTGAGCCCCTGCACCCATATGGGAGACCCGGAGGAAGCTCCTGGCTCCTGGCTTCCGATCGGCACAGCTCCGGCCATTGGGGTGAACCAGCGGATGGAAGTCCACCCCCCCCACCTCTGCCTCTGCCTCTCTGTAACTCTGCCTTCCAAATAAATAATTTTTTTAATTTTATTTGACAGATAGAGTTAGATAGTGAGAGAGAGAGACAGAGAGAAAGGTCTTCCTTCCATTGGTTCACTCCCCAAATGGCCACTACGGCCAGAGCTATGCTGATCCGAAGCCAGGGGCTGGGTGCTTCCTCCTGGTCTCCCATGCTGGTGCAGGTGCTGGTGCCCAAGCACTTGAGCCATCCTCCACTGCCCTCCCGGGCCACAGCAGAGAGCTGGACTGGAAGAGGGGCAACCGGGACTAGAACCTGGTGCCCATATGGGATGCCGGCGCCACAGGTGGAAGATTAGCCAAGTGAGCCACGGCGCCGCCCCCCCCCCAATTTTTTTTTAAAGTTGAACAGATTGGGGCTGGTGCTGTGGCATAGCAGGTTAACTCCCTGGCCTGAAGCACCAGCATCCCATATGGGCACCGGTTCTAGTCCTGGCTGCTCCTCTTCCAATCCAGCTCTCTGAATGGCCTGGGAAAACAATAGAAGATGGCCCAAGTCCTTGGGCCCCTGCACCCATGGGAGAGAACCGGAGGAAGCTCCTGGCTCCTGGCTTCGGATCAGCACAGCTCTGGCCATTGCAGCCATCTGGGGAGTGAACCAGCAAATGGAAGACCTCTCTCTCTGTCTCTACCTCTCTCTGTGACTCTTTCAAATAAAAAAAAAAAAGTTGAACAGAGGAGCCTGGAAAGTAAGAAGGAATTACCAAGGGAGTAGGAGAAAAACAAGGGGGAGGAGGTGGTAAGGAGGAGGGAGTGGTCACCAATCCCAAATGCTACCCAGAGCCAAGTAGGAGGATAACCTCTGAAGAGATGCTCTTGGATTTGGTGGCACAGGTCCACAGCAGACCTTGATGAGACAACAGTTTCGGGCAAGCAGTGGAGGCAGATTGAAGTGGGTTGAAACATAAGTGGGAAGTGAAAAATGAGGACAGTTCAGTGTAGGCAACTCTTTCGAGAAATTCGTAGAAAGGAGAAGAGAGGGAGGTGGTGGGAGAGGGAGAATTTGAAGTAATTATCTGTTTTTAGATGGAAGACACCTGAGTATGTTTAGATGTTGACCGGAAGGAGCAAGGAGCAAATTTCTAAGCGTGGTGGCAAGAAGTCAGAAACCTCTTAGGTGGCTTCTGTTGACTCTGTGAAGACATAGGCAGGGTCAGCTGCTGAGAGTTAGAGGGTAGTTACAGAAGTTGGAGGGGGGGTTGACAGAAGAACAGAAGGTTTGAAACGGCCGCTGTGACAAATGGGATGGCTATTAGGGTCTGGGACCGCACGGAGGGCCCAGCAGAAGCTGGAAACTGTGGGTTTACAATGGCCCAAATCTGCGAGGTTCAACGTTTTCTCCAGCAGTGTTTCGCTCAGGCATGGAAAAGGCAGGCAGTTGAGGACGGATCCAAACTTGGGCTGTTGCCAGGCGGATGCGACAAACCAGGAACTGAGGTTACTGCTAAGACAGTGACAAGTAAAGAACCATGAAGTCTGGTTTGAGCAGAGTCGAGTCGGCGAGCTGTGCCCTACGGGAAGCTCTGGAACATGTTGGAAAAGGCTTCTGGAAAAGAGAGTGAAGGGCGCGAGAAGGTGAAAAGACCCGAGCTGGGTCAGAAGGGCAAATTTGAGGGGTTGAGCCCGAGACTTGCCCGTGTGGGACCAGGAAGGGAGAGGGAAGACGGCTTGAGGGGGGATTTTTAAGGGGCAGAAGGAGGACCTTGAGGGCGGTCGCAGCGAGAAGGGAGGCGGACCCGAGCGAAGGGGCGTGGTCAGCGCAAATCCCGGGCGAGGGGGCGGGGCCCCGGTAACTGGGTCCCAGCGCCGCTGTGGCTGCGGCTGCCTCAGCGACGGCTCCCGCCTCCCAACCCCCCTTCCCAGGGCTGCTTCCCGCCTGCCGCCGCCGTCGAGACTCAGGCTGAGGCTGGGGAGAACGGTGAAGCCCGGCCCAGGCCGTTCCCCTGTCCCCGGGGCTGGAGCATCGCCCGGGAGGACTGGCCGAAGGCGAGCCCCGAAGCCCAAGCGCGCGGCGCACACGCGCGCCCCCGGCCACCGCCATCCTCCCCTCCCTCCCCTTCCTTTCCCTCCCCTCCCCTCTCCTCCGCCCCCAGCCTCCGCTGCGGCGGGAGGAAGAACCCTTTCCGACCAGCCAGGAGAGTCCAGATCGATTCCCATTCGGGCAGAAAGAAGAGACCCCGCACTCGGATCCGACCGACCGCTCTCCCCGGGGCCACGGAAGTAGCTCGCAGTCCAACGGAGAGCCCGCGCCCAGCGCAGCCCTCCGACCCTCGCCCAGCCGCAGCCGCATAGACAGCGCTCCCCAGCGGGCCCCCGGCCCCGCCAAGCCCACTCCCCGCGCGGAGCCGGGGCCGGCGATGCCTGGCACGGCAGCGGCGGTGGCCGCGGCTGCTGCTGCCACTGCCACCGCTGCCACGGCTGCTGGCCCGGGCCCGGGCCGGGGGCTCGAGTCTCCGCAGTGGGGCTGAGCCCGCAGCCCCGCCCCCCGAGCCTGAGGCCGCTGCTCTGCCGGGCGCCGGGCCTCCTCCGCCCGCGCCTCCGCCCCAGGAGCTGGAGCCAAGCGGGGAGCCCGGGCCCCGCGCCCAGGCCCGGACCATGCACGGCCACCGAGCTCCGGGGGGCGCCGGGCCTTCGGAGCCCGAACACCCGGCTGCGAACCCCCCCGGCGCCGCTCCACCGGCCTGTGCCGACTCGGACCCTGGAGCCTCGGAGCCCGGACTACCGGTGCGCAGGGGCTCAGGCTCGGCTCTCGGCGGCCCCCTGGATCCCCAGTTTCCCGGACCCTCGGACGCCAGCCTGGGTGCTGTACCAGGGCCCCGGGTCTTGCCCTGCGGCCCCAGTCCACAGCACCACCGGGCCCTGCGCTTCTCTTACCACCTGGAGGGCTCGCAGCCTCGGCCTGGTGAGTGATCCAGAGGGCATGGGAGCCGGGGCCACAGGCCTGGTACTGGGAGCGGGTTCTTGTTCTCAGGCCCTCTAAGCCCCACCTCGGGGCCGGCCTGCTCATCCCGGTCCTTCAGATGCCCTCAGCCTCCACCTCCTGCCCTCGTCCCTGGGCCTTCCAACCCGTCCTTTCAACCTCGGGCCTGGTCTCCCCTGCTGTCCCCTGTGCCCCTCAACCCTCTAGCTCCCCTCTCTTCTGTCTGCCGAGGCTAATGGGAGAAGGAAAACTCCAAGAAAAAGGAGCAGGATTGCAAGACAGCAGCAGGGATTTGGTTGGGGGAATCTGGGTCTAGTTGGGGGAATCAGAATTTAATTGGGAGGAGTAGGAGAAAAGGAGGAGCCTCTCATTAGCCAAGCAGCTAGATTAACCAAATTTTGTAGGAGAGGAAACTGAGGCTCAGAGAAGTTAAGTAACTTGTCCAAGGTCACACAGCTTGTATGGAGCCAGGATTCAGTACCAGATCTGTTTGAGTCCAAAGTCTGTGGTCTTTCCGCCTTCCCCAAACTGAGGCTGGAGAGCATGAAAGTAATGCCAAGCCTTCTGCTTATGTGATTTTCTCCTGTACTGTTCGGCAGCTCTGGAGTATGAGTGGAAAAAAAAAAAAAGAGGGATGGTGGATTGATCCAAGGTTGGGGTTTTGCCAGGGGTGTGTGGCGGGAGGACAAGGGAAGGAAGGAGCAGAAGGTACTGATGAGAGGGAAAGGTGGAAGGGGGGGATGGGGAGCAAGCTGGAAGGGTTGTTGGGTAGGGAGACAGCAGAGATCAGCAGGGGCAGGAGGCAGTTGCAGCAGAGCTAGAGAGCTGCAGGGCCACGAGGCTGCTTCTTGGATGTGTAGAGGTAGAGCAACCCTGGGAGAGGCTGGGGCCACAGACCACTGCCTGGAGAGTCCTTTGTGTTGCATAGACCTGAGTGAGGGACCCAGCATCTGGGCAAATTCTCCTGTGGGCTGAGCCCAAGACTCGCAGGAGAAGAGCAGTGCTGTGGGCCCTGTCTTTCACTAGGACCAAAGGAGTTGTTGAGTCTCTGGGAGCTCCCCAGGCTCACCTTCCACGTCCCACAGGGCTTTGGGACTGTGACCCAGCAGCAGGTAGCAGTGGCTAAGCATAAAGGATGGCCCCTTGCTGCTGTTGTGACCTCGAGTTAGTCCTGGAACCTTTGGGAGATTTCAGGGGGCTCCCTGCACGTGGGCTGGAGGTAACCAGCTAACAGCCCGTTTCCACTGTCTGTCTAAACTCCCCTTGTCAGACTGTGGGTAGAGGGCTATTCAGTGCTCTCCTACAGCACCTTCTTATCCCAACACATGCCACGGGCACTCCCACCGCAGGGCCTTTGCATTTGCTCTTCTCTCTGCCTGCAGCCTTGCCTCCAGCCCTCCACCTGGCTTGCTCCTCATCTTTCAGGTCTCAGCTCAGATGTCACCTCCTCCAAGAGACTTTCCCTGACCCCTCCACCGCAGCTGCCAGCCTGCTCCCACCCTTGCACTCTGGACAGTCTGAAGTTAGCTTCCCCTTGCTTATTGGCCATCTTCTGCCGCTACAGCGTGAGCTCCGTGAGGGCCAAGGGATCCTCTCTGTTTTGTTCACTGTTGGGTCCCCACTGACTGACACAGTGCCTTGCACACAGTAGGTGCTCCATAAGTCCTTGTTGGACAAATGCCTGAACAGAGAGCAAGCAGGCACATAGTAGGCCCTCAGGAACTATTACCTAAGCAAAGGGCACTAGATTCCTGCTCTCCACACACAGAGACCAAGAGTTCTCTGGCCTCTCTGATCAGTACACCGCGATGATTCTGAGGATGCCTTCCCACTGCACCAATCCTTTGAGTCCCAATTCACAGTCCCCTGCCTAAACCGCTCTCCTGCTCCCCCCAAAAAACAGCAGGAAGTTCAGGACCCTTTCCCCACTGAAGTCCCTGCTTCTGCAGTTGCCTGGGATGGGGGTGGGGAGTCTTTTTTTTTTTTTTTTCAATCCAAAACGGGGATTGGGAATAAGAAAGAGATCCGGGAAGGACCTGGCCTCCCATCCAATCATTCCTAACTGACTCACTGAGTGACTTCCCTTCTCTGAGCTTCAATTTCCTCATCTGGAGAATGCCGCGAAGAGTCTGTTTGCAAAGCCTGCAGCATGGCCTAAACCGTCAGCCACCAGGAGTTTAAAAAAAACTCAAATCACATCATAAGAGAGAAAAAGCTCCTGAAGAGGAGGCGGAGGGATTACTCAGGCCTGGCAAGGCGGGCGCTGGGCCATGTGATTCACAGCAGCATGGGTGGTGAGAGACCCGCCTCCCCCACTGCCCAGCCGGCCCAGGGGCAGGCGCAAGCCACTGACTTCTCTCTCCATGGGACTCGCCTATAATTGGCCCGAAGAGGGCAGGGTTGGTGGTTGTAGGGTGTGTATGTAAGAGAAGGAGCGAGCAAGCGAGTGAGAGAGAGAGAGAGATTCCTGAGCTTCAATTAAAGGGTTGAAACGTTTTAGTCCACATGTTAAGATGTCCGTGCGCCGCCCGACTTCCTCCCTCAGACTGCCAAGGCCTTTATTGAATCACCATCCTCAGGACTCAGTGGCTGATCGTGGAGATGGGGGAGGCTTTGTAAAGTACTAAGTATATCTTATGCTTATGAAGAGCCTCGAATTGCTTGAGAGCCCTTTTTTTCGTTATCCTGTCCCAATTCCTGGAGAGAGGGACAATTGTTAGTGTGCCCATTTTCCGGATTGATAAAACCTGAGGCCTCATTGCAGCACTGGGATAACATATTGAGATACCAGAGAAGGCTTTGAGAGAGTCAGGAAGGGGCTCCCAAGTATGGATTACCCCACAGGATTTGCAGGAGAGCTACCCTATTCCTTGGGGTTAAAGCCTAGAACGTCCTTCCCGATGGTGGTGCTGGAGAAGCTGGGGCCCTGACCTTAGCTCCATCACACCTGATGTTAGAGCCTTCTGTTGGGTAGCAGGGGAAACCAGGGCTAGGGGAGCCAGGAGCAGCAAGAAGGGCTGGCTTTTTCTGACTTGGAGCCTGGGGCATTTTCGGAGACTTCCAGGAGTTGAAATGGCAGCTGGAAAGGTGCCTCCACACTGTTTGGTTCTGAGTGATCATCTGAATCCCTTGTTGGCCTGAGGGAAAGAAACGTGATTCCCAGACTCCACCTTGGAGTTCCAGAACCTCAGGGCTGGAACCTAGTAGTCTGGTTGCCCAGATGCTTCTGACGCACAGCCCGCAGTGGGAACTGCTGCTCAAGCCCATTTTCCAGTTGGGGTAGTGGAGGCTCGGAGAGGCAGGAATGTGGCCATGGTCCCGCAGTGAGTCAGCAGCTCTAGGGCCTGAAGAATGTCTCCATCTCCTCCTGAGGCCCTGTCTCCAGGGCCCTCGATGGGCCCCTCAACCCCCTAGGGAGGGACAAGATCAGAAATAAATGGGAGTGGGTCAACCCCTCACCCACATACACACGTTTCAGTTTACCCTCCAGTCCCAGCTCTCATGAATAGCTACCATTTGGCAGTTCAAGTTGGAAGGCAAGTTGCACTTCTGGGACTGCAGGCACGGGAAACCTTGGCTTCAGCAGTGTCCAGCCCAGGGCCTGGGCCAAAGGAAGAGCTACTAGAGGGATGTCCAGCAAGGCTCGTAGTGCTAGAGGGGAATGTGGAGGGCAGTTCAGGTGGGTGGGTTAGGGAGCAGAGGTGCCAAAACGGGGCACTGGCGAGTGAAGCTGCTGTCAGGAGGAGCAGTGTGATGAGACTGGCAGAGAAATGTTCTCGCATGTGCATACGGACCACTGGAGGGTTGAAGAACTGGGGAATCATGGGCTCATGTGCTCAGATGTGGGTGTCTGCAAGCTGCATAGGCTGAATGGATGGAAGCGGTGCAAGAGAGGCAGCAGGGAGACGGGCAGGTGGGTGTTACAGGTGGCCTGGTGCAGGGTGGTGGAGCTCATGGTGGCAGGTGAGGAAAGGAAGGCCTGAGAGATATTTAGGTGTTAACATGGACAGGCGTTAAGGTGACATGGATGTAGAGGCCGAGGAAGAGAGGCAAGTCCAAGATGGCTCTAATTTTTTTTTTTTTTTTTTCTGAAACGCCTGACACTGACCTGGTAGATAACAGGGCCATCTAGATGCAAAGAGAAGGAGTGGGTTTAGGGAAAGATAATGAATAATATTTGAGATCTATTGAGTTTGAGAGATCGAGGAGAATATCAGGGTGCAGATGGCCAGCAGGCGTAAGATTGGAAAACTCAGGAGAAGGGCCTGGGCCAGAGATGGTTGGGAGTTTCACCAGCAACACATACCACGCCCCACACAACCGTTCACGGGGAGAGTGTGTGTGGCTCTGGAGGCAGTCTCCTCCCCCAAGT